TGTGCGTGCGTGTGCGTGCGTGTGCGTGTGTGTGTGCGTGCATGTGTGTGTGTGTGTGTGTGTATAGAAAGAATCCGGCAGGATATAGGCCACACTATAAACAGCATGGAAATGGGGAAGGACTGAGGAAGAAAGGCTTTTGCTCTTTATTTATACCAACATTACTTGTTTTGTTTGTTTTTGTTTACTTTTATCAAGGGAAAACAATAATAAATTCCTTAAGCTCTTGACTCTGTCTCTCTCTCTCTCTCACATACCCTGTCCTCAGTAAGACACCAGTATTTGGGCTCAGGTGTTCCTCAGGCATCTCTGGAGGTCCCCAGAAACTGTGAGCTGTGGGGGCATTTCTTTGCTCAGTCCCATATCCCCATAACACACCAGGAATTGGGGTTCCTTTGGAGCTGGACAGACAACTGAGAGCAGTAGATACATATGAAATTCAGAGAAAATTGAGGATATGCGTAAAAAAACAGATTTGTGATTAAATAAACATTTTCTTTTATTATTATTATTATTATTTATGCCTATGGCACCTGCTCTTCCTAGGTGGTCTCCCATTTAAATACTAACCATGCCGGACCCTGCTTAGCTTCCAAGATCAGACACAGGGCTTGTTCAGGGTGGCATGGCCATAGACCATGGACTGTGGCACCTCTGGGGCATGAACCCAGGACCTTCTGCGTGTAAAGCAGACGTGCTAACCGCTACACTATGGAACCATGGCCATTAAATAAACATTTTCTGAGGGCCAACTAAATGACAGGCATCAAGCTGGCACAGAGAAAAAAAAATTGAGTAAAACAGAGTTTCTTCCAAGGAAGAGCTGAAACCTAGTGAAGGAGCCAGCTATGGACACAAGGAGGGGCCAAGGAGACAATTGAGCTCCCGGCACCGACGATGAGAAGGATGAGGCGAGAGTGACTTGACAGGAGGCCCTGCAAACTGAGGGGGAAACCGAGGCAGAGGCTCAGTCCTCATCCCGGCTTTAATACTGCGTGACCTTGAGCTCATAGATTCATCTCTCCATGTCTCCATTTTGTTATCCGAGAATGCAAATGGCTCCTGAAAAGAATGAAACTTAAGTGAACAGAGAGCACAGAGCACTGAGTGTCTCCCATTGAGGGGAGGGGAGGGGAGGGGAGGGGAGGACACCTGCCATGCCGTGAGGGAGCCCAGACCACATGGAGAGGCCACGATAGGTGTTTCAGGTGATATCCTAGCCAAGAGCCAGCTGCAGCCACCAAGGAAGCCTTTGCGATGACTCCACCCACCTCTGACTGAAACCACCAGACGCCTCGAGTGAGAACCACCTACCTGAACCCAGTCAACTCCCAGAAACACAACGGGTAACATCATAAATGATATTTGTGTTTTTCACCCTGTCGTTTTGAGTGGTCAGCTACGCAGCAATAGATAACTACGACAGGGAAGTAGCAAGAGGCGGCAGACGGTGACAGTAGAATGCCAGTTAAATAAGCAGCCTCCACCCAGCCCCAACCAATACTGGCCACGTGAGAACGCAAGGGCAAATGTTCCCACGTTTCGACATTTTTCAAGTAAAAACGGACATCCAGAACCGTATGAGAAATGTCCAGGTTTTGAAATGTTGACGAATCGTTCAAAACCACTTGAAACCTGTTCGAGACAACCATGTGGGTCAGACTGGGTTTCTGGGCCGTCCGCAGTCTCTGGTTCGACGAGGTGGAGTGACCCTTGTCTGCCTCCTTCTCTTGGCACCTCCCTCAGCCCCATCCACACGGTCGTAGTGAAGCCTCCGTGTCTCTACATGACCGTACCTCTCCGTCACTGTTGACTGGTCCACAGGTCAGTTTTATCACAATTCTTACCTGGAATGTCTTAAGCAAAACGGAAGAAAAAAGATCCGCCCTGGCCATAGGAGCCATAAGAAATAGAGGCGAAAAAATGGCAGGCTTTGGGAAAGGACGGGGGAGGTAGATGGGGTAAAGGGGGTCAAAATATAGGGGGGTAGGGGGAGAGTGAAGTGGGTAAAAGGGATCGAATATATGGTAGCTGAAGGAAACTGGACTTTGGGTGCTAAACACACAATAGAATATACAGATGTCAAATTATAATGCATACCTGAAAATTATATTATTGTACTAACCAATGTTACCCCAATACACTTAATTTAAAAAATAATTTAAAAAAAAGAAAAAAGAGAAAAAAATAAAAGAAATGGCGGCCTTGATCCCTGTGGTATATGACACAAGCCAGTGTCCTATGAGACAGGAAGATGTTCCAAACAGAGAGAGACAGACAAGCAGCAGAGGGGATCCTAGAGGCAGCGGGGCCCCCAGACCCCGTTCTCTCTCCAGCCCATCTGCATTTGGTTCATTCTTCCTCCTGTTCTATGAGATACCCCAGTATCCTCCCCCCAAACTCCCCTTGGGGCCCATCTTCTTTCAAGCTGAGTTTCCGTCACATGTAACCAAAAACTTTTAACACAGGAGTTCAACAGAGAGTTTTAAGCAGGGTAGAAATCATGATCAAATTTATATTTTTAAAAGGTAACTTTGGTGGAGGGAGATGGATGGGGTAAAAGGGGTCAAATATGTGGTGACAGAAAGAAATCTATGAGCGGTGAACACAATGCGATACGTATATATGCCTTCCTGTCGAATTGTCTACCTGCAAGTTACTGGATTTCATTAACCAATGTCACCATAATAATAAACAAACAAACAAACAAGGTAACTTCGGCAATGGCTGTGTTGGAACAGGCGGAGGACACTGAGGGAGAGGAATGCTCGGGCAGAACAGCGGACAAGGCTTAATGACAGAGGGATGAGCAAGTGACTAGACCTTTCCGGGTTCATGTTCTTATCTGAAAACTGGGATTTAAAAATATCTACCTAGAGACACAGCTGAGGCAAGTGAGAACTGGTGGGCACTGGGCAGCTCTGTGCCTCACTGAGGAAACATAACTAAACACGGGCAAAGGGGACCCTAAGAGGCTGACAGGTAAAATGTCATCGGTGGCATTCTGCGTAAATTTGCCAGAAGTTGCCCAGGAGGACGCATCCAGGTGCTTCAGTCAACTTCTCAGGATGTTCTTCGAAATGCTCTGAAACGTGGAGAGCCTCGCCTGCTAAAAAGAGAGGAAACTGGAGCCACGACAAGAGTGGACAAGGCCCCTGGAAAAGAAAAATGGCGACGTGCATCTCTCCTAAAGCAGGAACAAAAAGGAGTCCAGTGATTCCAATGCACCCAAGAGACCTCCTTTGGCCTTTTTCTTGTGTTCTGAGTATCACCCAAAAATCAAAGGAGATCCTGGCCCATCTGTTGGCGATGATTTAAAGAAACTGTGAGTGGCAGTGCGACAGATGGCAAGCAGCCTAAAAGGAAGGCTGTTCAGCAGAAGGAAAAGTACCAAAAAGATCTTGCTGCATCTTCAGCTAACAGAAAGCTGATGAGGAAGGCGGTGAGAAACCACTGAAGTCAGAACATCGGGATTCAGTGATGGAGTGGATGTTGGACAGAAGAGCAAAGGAGTCAGGATGACTCCAGGTGTTTGACCTAAGCCATGCAGAGAACCGTGAGCCATTTCCTGAGATGGGAAGCACCAGGGGAGGTTTTGGACGTCACTGGAGAAGCATATGAGACAGTCAAACAGAAATATGGAGAAGGCAGTAGGGTATCCCTGGCTCTCCTTAGGAGTCCAGGGCAGGAATTCTTAACCTCTGTGTGTGTGCAGTCAGGACCCTCTTATCAGTCCAATGAAGTCTGTGGTCCTCTAATGCAAAGGTAGCTTGCAGTTACACTATCAAGCAAACTCTCCCAGAGGTCACGAAACAGAAAGCCTCCCAGACCAAATTAAGATGCATGAATTACAGGATTTATTTAAATCAGTTTGAAACACCTGGTTTAAACCTCCTGAAGCAAGAGGGAACAACATGGGGTAGAAAACACACACAGGACAGGATAGAGGCGTGGTAGAAGGACCACACCATCTAAACCTCAAGTTATGCAATGTTAGGTGTTCTGCTCTCCCTGCTGCATCCGCCAGCCCCACTGATAGCAGGGTTACAAACACCACAGCTGAGGATGCTCAAGGCTACCCAACAGAGAGTACTGGAGCCAACTCACAGTGACCTATCAGAGAGACCCAGGGACAAGTACGGCTGGCCACAGATGCAGCTCAGCCATCGGCCTGCCGAATAGACATGGGTTTTATCTGCAATTTTTGGGCAGAGCATATGGGAGCCGGAATAGGACCATAATATTACCACCAATGAGTGGCCATTTAAGGATGACATAGTTGTCAACTCAGCGGTGGAATGATCATGCTTTTTGATTGGATTACTAAGTAAAATTCTTTCATTTGTTCCGTCGTGTATTCCACGTACCACATTTACCTTCGACAAATGTAACATGTAACTTATTTAGAATTCTTGCCTATATCTCACAATTGAATCGCCTACTCAACAGCCATGTCTCTTATGCTACTAGCTTTCCTCTGCTCTATGCTTAACATGTTTTGTGTGTTTCATTCATTCTGTTTATTTTTCTTGTCCTCTACAGCGGAACTGTAGTCTCAAATACAGCACACTCTGTTATAATGTTTTTACGAATAGAATAAAATGCCGGTTGTAAAAATATATAGTTTTACATTAAGTAACAAGATGTAGTAGCAGCGGGTCTTTTAATTACCACAATTCCAAGTAGTGATGAGCTTCACAACATTGAGCTGTCTCCACCTGGCCGGCCTCCGAGGAGAGAGGACACGCTCATTAAAAGGGAATGAGGGTAGAAGTAGTTGGGAGAGCATGTAAGCCTTCCAGGGGACAAATGGTTAAAGAGGTGGCGTCCGGCCCCCTCAAGAGCTACGGCCGCTGTGCAGGCCTCGGTCCGAGCTGGCGCAGCCGCAGGCACTGGGGAAGCACCGCCCCCCGAGGCCGGCAGAGGGCGCGCGAGCCGGCGGCCCCGCCCCGTGAACGCGTGCGCGGGGGGCGTTCCCGCCGCCAGGCATCAGCAATCTATCCGGGAGCGGCGGGTGGTCGGCGCGGCGTGCTCGGCGGCGGCTCTAGGCGTTCGGGTGCCTGCGGGGAACGGACTGACGGACGGACGCACGCACGCACGCGCGGGGCGGCGAGGCGACGGCGGCGGGTCTCCAGGTGGCGGCGTCGGGCTCTGGGAGCTGCAGCGGCACAAGGAGAGGATGGCGGAGTCTTCGGACAAGCTCTACCGAGTCGAGTACGCCAAGAGTGGCCGCGCCTCCTGCAAGAAATGCAGCGAGAGCATCCCCAAGGACTCGCTCCGGATGGCCATCATGGTGCAGGTGCGGGCGGCAGGGCCGCTTTGTGCGCGGCGGGGCTTCCGTGTCCGGGAGGGGTGGGGGGAGGGCTTGCCGAGAGGAGCGGGCCGGGCCGGGCCGGGCCGGCCCTTCGCAGTCCGCGCGGGGTCTGTGGGCGCTGCTGCTGCTCCCCGTGCGGCCCACCGGGTGGATCTTCCAGAAGGTTTTGCCGATCTTGCAGGAAAAGCCCGGGAAATACGGTCTGAAGCTGGTGGTGTCTTTTTCTTTGTAAAAATAAGGAATCGCTTCTATTACCGTTCGCCCCAGAGGAAGATACGTGTGCGTGGTCTTTAGAGGCTCTGTTGATTTTCACTGACCTCCAGGGAAAAATCATTGACCTACCTTTTTCTGGAAGATTTTTGTCCTACATTGATGACGGCGACCGGCATGCGAGAAATTTTTTATAACCTATTTTTGGGTGTCACTTCAACACCCACTCACCCTTTTTTTTTTAATTATGGAAAATAGTGTAATTCGATGTCATTTCCGTACAGTGCATTCACTTTTTTCCTGATTCGTGGTTTAAAGTAACATTTCCCTAAACTTTCCAGGTTCATAGTCTTGTTTTCTTGGTGCATTTTCAGCTATCTGGTTTGAGTAGGAGTGGCTTGGGGGTGGGGGACTCCTCATTGGGACTTCTGGACAGATTTGGGGAGTCTCCGTTTTGGGTCCCCTGAGGCGTGGGGGTGTTGGAGTGCTCTGTGAGGTGTGTCCCAAAGCCCCTGCCAAGGGGGCTCCTGCGTCTTCCAGTCTCCTGTGTAATCTTGGTTCTCACCACTCCTGTCTCCCCGCCTCCATCATAAAGCTGTTTATTGTCCAAGCTTAGTACTCATGGTCAAGGTAACTCGATTTTCCTCCCTGTGGTGAGGCAATACTGTGTTTTAGGAATGACTGGGGACCCCTCACTGGATTTTCAATACTTAATGGGGTGGAGGGGGGTGGGTACCAAGTAGTCAGCTTATTTCATTTACTGACAAGGCAGGGACCAGGGCTGTCTTGTTATCCTCAATACTGGGTGCAGAGTACTTATTCATTCAGTAAACACAGGCACTGTGTTGGGTACTAGGCGCACAAAGACTGCACCCCTGGGAGCTTCCTGTTCAGTTAAAGGGAAAATGAGTGGTAACCATTGCTGTCCAGGGGTATGTGCTACCGTTGGAGCTGTGCCCTAGACATTGTGCCGAGGTTGGGACCTTGGTTAGGAGGTTAGGAGTCATCACCGTAGTGGCAGGAAGTCGAGGGTGGAATAGCAGACAAGGCCTGCCATCTGAAGAGCCACATCTCCTACTCAGTGTCTTTGAGCTTTCCCCTGGACGTCTGGGCGGCTGATCTTCCAAAACTCCCTCGTCGGGCAGGGCCTGTCACCTGGGGTCCATGGGATGTGGATGGAAGGTCTGTGAGTTGAGATGAGAACAGATTTACATCTCCATTTTCACTGACCTCTAGGTAAAAATCATTATTTTCTCGAATTATGAGTGTAAGACACAAAGGCATATGAGCAGTATTTGCAATTTTTGTCATCGATGTTAATTACAGATATTTTCATATCACTTTACATTTGTTGGGAATTCATCATTTACGCTCATCACTGCTTCGAAATTACAGTAGCTGTCAGGGTGGGTGCTGGATCTTATTTTATGCTTTCAGCTCATGGATTATTGTATTCCTGTAAGCTTTTTAACTGGTTTCCTTTGTGAGGCTGTCTTTTGTCATGTATTTTCGAATGTTATTCTGTGGAAGGTTCTTCCGTAGGCTTCACCAGACAGCGGAAGAGGACCCTGTTCTTTGGACAGGCAGGTTACCTAACATTCAGGGCCGTGAGGCAGGGACAGTGAGGAGCAAAGAGGGCTGGGTCTGGGGCAGTCTGGGGTGGCTCCACGGAGAAATCAGTTCCTGAACCAAATAAAGTTTAACATTCCGGGCCCTCTTTTTGGCATACTTGATAGTGAAGGAACTTTTTTATTATTGAAAGTGTGTTTTCCTGTCACTGTAATTAGGGAGTGGGTTTTTAATTCCGAAGGGTAGGCCGAGCTGGTGGGGGCCTGAAAGAAAGAAGCCATTCTTCTCCCACTGGGGTTTAAAAACCATTTACATTTGTATGGGAGGATTGTTCTCTGAATATCAAATACCTGATACTTCAGCTGGTTGTGCCCGGGGGCAGCCTTGAGGGGATGGACTGGGAGGCGGGTGTGGTGGGCCATTGTGTTCTTCTGTCTTGGCAGGGTGAGGGGCACACATCTGGTCTCACAGTGTGGTGACTGACTCTCCTTGGGATGGCTGGGCAGTGGAGCGTGGCTGGTTGAGGACCCTGGGGTGGTGCTCAGTAAGTGTTTGCTGAATGCACAGAGATTCTGCTGCTTGCCTGAGCCATGCAGCTGCCAGAGTCTTGTGACCTTGGTCTAGCTCCCTGCCATATCATTCTCCGTCTTAAGTTCTAAAGTAAAGCCCTGCTTTGGTCAAGGGCTCCTTTCTCTTTTAGGGATGGGATTGGGGGGCAGGGCGTTTACAGTCCCCCAAGCTTGTGCTGTGAGTATGCTTTTGGACAGCACCCCTGAGATGCCTGGAACTGCATGGGTAGTTGGGGACACAGCACTCAGACCAAAGTTGAAGGGGCAGGTGCGAGGCCCTGGCAGAGCCAAGAAGAAATGGCACAACCACAAATTCCATTGTGGGTGAAGCCACTGAGTCACATTCCCCCCACCCCCTTTGCATGAGCAGATCCTGAGCCTTGCAGAGGAGGGTAGACGAGGGGTACCGAGGCAGAGAGAACCAGGTGGAGGCCCCTGCAGATGTAACCAGATAGCCAGGTGCTTCAAGGAGGTGTCTGCTGCCTTGGCTAAAGTTCGAGAGCCAGAACACGAGTCTGCTCTGGAATGCCATTTGTTGTCTGGTTTGGGGGACACCTCT